ACCCAGTTATTTATGGTATTGAGTTTGAATGTAGCCTTTGGAAGGTATTTTCCAACAGTGCATTGTAAAGACTGAAAAAACAGGCTCAGGTTAAAGCTTGACTTGATTTGGTCTTTTACTTAAGAGGATGTTTGTCCTCCTGTCTTCTCTTATTTCCTTATCTTTCTTTCAGGTGTAACATCTACCAATGGTTGTACATGACACCACCTCTTTGCTGTCCTACTAGTCAACCCTCCTGATCAGAGCCTTTCCTAAATAGTGGTAAGTTGTTTAACAGTTCAGTGTACGTTAATTTAGCAACTTAATGCTTTACTGCTGTTGAATAAACCCTATATATATACATCCATCAGCAATCAATAAAACAAATCATCCAACACAAAATAGAAGAAATCTGGACCTATTTCTTTTTATACCACAGCATCTATTGGGACTGCTCATTGATGTCATCAAGAGCCATTGAGTCTACCTTTTGCAGTCGGCCTCTCAGAATGTTTATCATTTCTTTGTCTCTTAACATTCCTATAATCATTTGTTTTTTTATTGTTGATATTGTTTTGTTCTTTATTTTTGTTGTGAGAATCACTTTGCAATTGTGTAAGTGCTATATAAATAGTTATACTAATATAATTGTTGTTACCATTATTACTATTATTAAAAATGTCTTCTTTGTTTTCTTTATTCATCGCTGCAGAAAGGTTCAAAAAGTTCCCTGTACATGGAACCATGCCTGTCCTCTGTTCCACATGTCTTCAGTCAGTTCTGGACCCTATGACTCTGTTCCACATGTCTTCAGTCAGTTCTGGACCCCATGACTCTGTTCCACATCTCTTCAGTCCGTTCTGGACCCTATGACTCTGTTCCACATGTCTTCAGTCAGTTCTGGACCCCATGACTCTGTTCCACATGTCTTCAGTCAGTTCTGGACCCCATGACTCTGTTCCACATCTCTTCAGTCAGTTCTGGACCCCATGACTCTGTTCCACATGTCTTCAGTCAGTTCTGGACCCTATGACTCTGTTCCACATGTCTTCAGTCAGTTCTGGACCCCATGACTCTGTTCCACATGTCTTCAGTCCGTTCTGGACCCCATGACTCTGTTCCACATGTCTTCAGTCAGTTCTGGACCCCATGACTCTGTTCCACATGTCTTCAGTCAGTTCTGGACCCCATGACTCTGTTCCACATGTCTTCAGTCAGTTCTGGACCCCATGACTCTGTTCCACATCTCTTCAGTCAGTTCTGGACCCTATGACTCTGTTCCACATGTCTTCAGTCAGTTCTGGACCCTATGACTCTGTTCCACATCTCTTCAGTCCGTTCTGGACCCTATGACTCTGTTCCACATGTCTTCAGTCAGTTCTGGACCCCATGACTCTGTTCCACATCTCTTCAGTCCGTTCTGGACCCTATGACTCTGTTCCACATGTCTTCAGTCAGTTCTGGACCCCATGACTCTGTTCCACATGTCTTCAGTCAGTTCTGGACCCCATGACTCTGTTCCACATGTCTTCAGTCAGTTCTGGACCCCATGACTCTGTTCCACATGTCTTCAGTCAGTTCTGGACCCCATGACTCTGTTCCACATGTCTTCAGTCCGTTCTGGACCCTATGACTCTGTTCCACATGTCTTCAGTCCGTTCTGGACCCTATGACTCTGTTCCACATGTCTTCAGTCAGTTCTGGACCCCATGACTCTGTTCCACATGTCTTCAGTCCGTTCTGGACCCTATGACTCTGTTCCACATGTCTTCAGTCAGTTCTGGACCCCATGACTCTGTTCCACATGTCTTCAGTCAGTTCTGGACCCCATGACTCGGACACTAGTTCTACCAAGGCTCATTAGAGGTAAGCAGTGGTAGGAGAGTGGAGTTATCTTTGTATTTAGGCTGCAAGTCGACAAGAATAGATTACAAATCGCTTAAAAAATTGTTCAGACAAGAGGCACCATGTGTTACGCAGGTGCACATCCACTGGAGGAAGATTCTGAAAGTAAAATATACACTTCTCACTAGAAATGTAATCATAAAGCATTATTACGGCCAAAGTATCCTACAATTCAGGATTTTCCACTGAAAAAAGTGTTGGATTCAAGATTCAAAGGTTTTATTCTCATATGCTCAGCAGCTACAGTGTAGAAATGTCAATGCAATTCTTCTGACCTGAGCTCCTCCAACAATGCAACATATACAATAAAATACAAAAATACAAAATAAAAAGTAGTGCAAAAAGTTTATATACATGTAATATAATAGAATATGATATTTACAAGAACAGAATATTAAATAAAAAATTAAATACGGTGTATTGCGTGGACAATAGACCCAATCACAGTGAATGTTCAAAACTAAACTTGATAAATTTTTCTTTTTCATCTCACAGTGCACATATTTAAGTAATCATAACACAAAGCTAAAATGTAATCTGTTTTTCCTTTCTCTTTTCAAGAGTGCTTCAGAGGATGGCTGAATTCACAAAACGTGGAGAAGACCGAGAAGGAGAAGTTGGCCGGTTACTACATTTCACAAAAAATACAGGACCTTGTGAAAAACGGAAAGAAACAGTTGAAGGAAATTGCTTAAAAATATGAAGTAATGGGTGTTTTGAAAATGTTTTCAAATGTGTGTTAATGTTCATTGTGTGTTATAAATTATTTTCCTGCTTCTAATCATTTGATGTATGAATATTTATTTACAGACATTCTATACATTCTGGTACCTTTCTGGTAAGGTAGGTGCTCTGATCTGAAATGATAGATGTTCATTGAGCTACTGCAATTGGGTGAGAGTGTTTCATCATCATATATGACCAGCTTAACCATCAAGTAATCCCAGTTAAAGTTCTACTCAAGATCATACCAGTCGGACCAGCTAATGGTGACCAGCTAGACCACTGTGACCACCAGCTTTTACCAGCTATCCTGACCAGCTAATGGTGACCAGCTAGACCACTGTGACCACCAGCTTTTACCAGCTAGACCAGCTATCCTGACCAGCTAAAGTGTCCAAAACCCCTCTCAACCAGCAAACTAATCCAGCCTAATATTGACTGGCTGGTCAGGCTGGTTTACCAGCCTGACCAGCCAGACCAGCCTTGTTGGTCTAAGCTGGTTTTTTCAGCAGGGATGTCCTTAAAATGAAGTCCGAGTTTGAAATATATCTCAAATAATGTATGCACCACCATTTCCCCACATAAACATAACAGTCTGCAATCAAACGGTTGTCTCCTGTGCGCTCCTCTTCCTACTTGGCGCACCGGTAACATGCTCGTGCGCACAAGAGGCAGACCTTAGGCTGAGCCGCCGAATCCCTCGGAACATCATAAAAGCAATTTTCAACGGTTTTCTGGTGAAAGATTAACTAGCTACTGGATGAAATAATATGACTGGTGGCATAGGTGCGAAAATGAAATACTTTTTGAAAAAAAGATTATGATAAAATATTTTTATATATTTATAATTCTGCAAATATTACGATAAACTCACAGCTATTTCGCGGCCCGGCAGTAACACCTCCGCGGCCCGGTACCGGTCCGCGGACCGGGGGTTGGGAACCCCTGCTCTAGAGCATACATGTGTTGAACACACCTCTTTTTATTGTATTTTAATACTTTAAATATGGTTTATTAGTATTATTTATGGAAATATTAGCATATTGCTTCAATAACTTCCAGGTCATGTGACCTAATAACTCAAAATCAGTGCTGGATCAAATAACTACACTGGCTGCATTAGACACACCTCTTGTTGTTGCATTTTCATACTCTAAATATTTTTATATTAATATTTTGATGGGGAAATGAGCATATTGCTTCAATAATTTCCAGGTCATGTGACCTATTCACTCAAAATCAGTGCTGGGTCAAATAACTACACTGGCTGCATAGGACACAACAAGGAGCTGGTGGTGGATTTCAGACGGTGCCAACACTCCCCCCCGACACCAGTGAACACCGAGGGAGCGGTGTGTGTGTGTGTGTGTGTGTGTGTGTGTGGATTGGAAAGGGTGTGTGTGGATTGGAAAGGGGGTGTGTGTGTGTGTTTAAGACTCAATCAGCAGGTTCTGATCAGTGATTGGTTCTCAGTTTGCCAGGGTTGCCAACTCTCACGCATCTGGCGTGTGACACACGCTTTCACTCTCAATCTCACGCTCTCACGCTGCCCAAACTATTCTCACGCCAAAAACAAGAATACCGAAGACTACCCTGCTGAAAAAACCAGCTTAGACCAACAAGGCTGGTCTGGCTGGTCAGGCTGGTAAACCAGCCTGACCAGCCAGTCAATATTAGGCTGGATTAGTTTACTGGTTGAGAGGGGTTTTGGACACTTTAGCTGGTCAGGATAGCTGGTTTGGTCACAGTGGTCTAGCTGGTCACCATTAGCTGGTCGGGATAGCTGGTTTAGCTGGTAAAAGCTGGTGGTCACAGTGGTCTAGCTGGTCAGGATAGCTGGTTTGGTCACAGTGGTCTAGCTGGTCACCATTAGCTGGTCGGGATAGCTGGTCTAGCTGGTAAAAGCTGGTGGTCACAGTGGTCTAGTAGCTGGTCACCATTAGCTGGTCGGGATAGCTGGTTTAGCTGGTAAAAGCTGGTGGTCACAGTGGTCTAGCTGGTCACCATTAGCTGGTCAGGATAGCTGGTAAAAGCTGGTGGTCACAGTGGTCTAGCTGGTCACCATTAGCTGGTCCGACTGGTATGATCTTGAGTAGAACTTTAACTGGGATTACTTGATGGTTAAGCTGGTCATATATGATGATGAAACACTCTCACCCAATTGCAGTAGCTCAATGAACATCTATCATTTCAGATCAGAGCACCTACCTTACCAGAAAGGTACCAGAATGTATAGAATGTCTGTAAATAAATATTCATACATCAAATGATTAGAAGCAGGAAAATAATTTATAACACACAATGAACATTAACACACATTTGAAAACATTTTCAAAACACCCATTACTTCATATTTTTAAGCAATTTCCTTCAACTGTTTCTTTCCGTTTTTCACAAGGTCCTGTATTTTTTGTGAAATGTAGTAACCGGCCAACTTCTCCTTCTCGGTCTTCTCCACGTTTTGTGAATTCAGCCATCCTCTGAAGCACTCTTGAAAAGAGAAAGGAAAAACAGATTACATTTTAGCTTTGTGTTATGATTACTTAAATATGTGCACTGTGAGATGAAAAAGAAAAATGTATCAAGTTTAGTTTTGAACATTCACTGTGATTGGGTCTATTGTCCACGCAATACACCGTATTTAATTTTTTATTTAATATTCTGTTCTTGTAAATATCATATTCTATTATATTACATGTATATAAACTTTTTGCACTACTTTTTATTTTGTATTTTTGTATTTTATTGTATATGTTGCATTGTTGGAGGAGCTCAGGTCAGAAGAATTGCATTGACATTTCTACACTGTAGCTGCTGAGCATATGAGAATAAAACCTTTGAATCTTGAATCCAACACTTTTTTCAGTGGAAAATCCTGAATTGTAGGATACTTTGGCCGTAATAATGCTTTATGATTACATTTCTAGTGAGAAGTGTATATTTTACTTTCAGAATCTTCCTCCAGTGGATGTGCACCTGCGTAACACATGGTGCCTCTTGTCTGAACAATTTTTTAAGCGATTTGTAATCTATTCTTGTCGACTTGCAGCCTAAATACAAAGATAACTCCACTCTCCTACCACTGCTTACTTCTAATAAGCCTTGGTAGAACTAGTGTCCGAGTCATGGGGTCCAGAACTGACTGAAGACATGTGGAACAGAGTCATGGGGTCCAGAACTGACTGAAGACATGTGGAACAGAGTCATAGGGTCCAGAACGGACTGAAGACATGTGGAACAGAGTCATGGGGTCCAGAACTGACTGAAGACATGTGGAACAGAGTCATAGGGTCCAGAACTGACTGAAGACATGTGGAACAGAGTCATAGGGTCCAGAACGGACTGAAGACATGTGGAACAGAGTCATGGGGTCCAGAACTGACTGAAGACATGTGGAACAGAGTCATAGGGTCCAGAACGGACTGAAGACATGTGGAACAGAGTCATGGGGTCCAGAACTGACTGAAGACATGTGGAACAGAGTCATAGGGTCCAGAACGGACTGAAGACATGTGGAACAGAGTCATGGGGTCCAGAACTGACTGAAGACATGTGGAACAGAGTCATGGGGTCCAGAACTGACTGAAGACATGTGGAACAGAGTCATGGGGTCCAGAACTGACTGAAGACATGTGGAACAGAGTCATGGGGTCCAGAACTGACTGAAGACATGTGGAACAGAGTCATAGGGTCCAGAACGGACTGAAGAGATGTGGAACAGAGTCATGGGGTCCAGAACTGACTGAAGACATGTGGAACAGAGTCATAGGGTCCAGAACGGACTGAAGACATGTGGAACAGAGTCATAGGGTCCAGAACGGACTGAAGACATGTGGAACAGAGTCATAGGGTCCAGAACGGACTGAAGACATGTGGAACAGAGTCATAGGGTCCAGAACTGACTGAAGACATGTGGAACAGAGTCATAGGGTCCAGAACTGACTGAAGACATGTGGAACAGAGTCATAGGGTCCAGAACTGACTGAAGACATGTGGAACAGAGTCATAGGGTCCAGAACTGACTGAAGAGATGTGGAACAGAGGACAGGCATGGTTCCATGTACAGGGAACTTTTTTAACCTTTCTGCAGCGATGAATAAAGAAAACAAAGAAGACATTTTTAATAATAGTAATGATGGTAACAACAATTATATTAGTATAACTATTTATATAGCACTTACACAATTGCAAAGTGATTCTCACAACAAAAATAAAGAACAAAACAATATCAACAATAAAATAACAAATGATTATAGGAATGTTAAGAGACAAAGAAATGATAAACATTCTGATAGGCCGACTGCAAAAGGTAGACTCAATGGCTCTTGATGACATCAATGAGCAGTCCCAATAGATGCTGTGGTATAAAAAGAAATAGAATAGGTCCAGATTTCTTCTATTTTGTGTTGGATGATTTGTTTTATTGATTGCTGATGGATGTATATATATAGGGTTTATTCAACAGCAGTAAAGCATTAAGTTGCTAAATTAACGTACACTGAACTGTTAAACAACTTACCACTATTTAGGAAAGGCTCTGATCAGGAGGGTTGACTAGTAGGACAGCAAAGAGGTGGTGTCATGTACAACCATTGGTAGATGTTACACCTGAAAGAAAGATAAGGAAATAAAAGAAGACAGGAGGACAAACATCCTCTTAAGTAAAAGACCAAATCAAGTCAAGCTTTAACCTGAGCCTGTTTTTTCAGTCTTTACAATGCACTGTTGGGAAATACCTTCCAAAGGCTACATTCAAACTCAATACCATAAATAACTGGGTACCAAAGTGCTTTACCTGATAGAACACGTTCCACACGGAGCAGCAACCATCCGGCTCGGCCTTTTGCTGCATATCATCTCCTCCCTCTCCACTGTTTCCAGTAGATCTCTACTATCCAATAAAACTGAAATTCCCCAAAAAATCATATTAAAAAAAAGTTAAAAACAATAACTTGCTTTTGGCATTGAAATAGATTAGATTAGATTAGATTAGAATCTCACCTTTTTCCTGGATGTCAGGAAGGCGTTCCCTTCAAGTCCGCAACCAGTCATAGGGGTTCAAATGCAAAGCCTGAATGATGACAAGAGCGAGATTTACATTTTACAATTATATTTTTAATTCATACCAGAGCAGTGTGTACGACATGCAAAGAACAGACAGACTCACACAGACTCACACACTTTGGTGATGTCCTTATCTGATAATGTTTCATCTTTTAGCAGCAAAGTAACATTACTCAAAGTATATGTATGTTTTGCATCTCCTCAACAATGGTCTGTATCATTGAGTAGAAAAAAACTGTCCCCACAATTTCAGGTAGATTAACACACATTTGTAAGAAAAGTTTACAATGAAGCACAAAAACCCTCTTTGTATTAAGCTAGCTGCCACAGAAAGTACAGCTTAACATGCTAACCTTTGGTGGAGAGCTACAGTTAGCTAACTTCATGTTCAACACAACACCTCTATAGGGATGCCAGAAACTGACCATGACCAAAATCGAAGATCGGACAGCCCTGGCGAATATTAATCGATTAATCGCCACCCCCCCTCCCCCTCCCCCCTCCCGGGAGGAGGAAAAAAAAAAACACTGACAAATGGTATTCCGTTGTTTTCTTTTACTGGAACGTGTACATGGTACAAAAGGGCTCTTCAGGTAGAACAGTATTAATAATAGCATCATTGAAATAAATTAAATAAATAGCCTACTTTATGTGTATGTATGTATGGGTGTAGGCGAGAGCGCAGCCGGTTAAGGATTAGTCCTGCCGCCGAAAAAACCCTTTCCGAGGGCACAGAGCACTGCGGAGCCCCTCAGCTAAATTAACCGCACTCTTCATCTCCCATTCACTATCGATATAATGGCAGGTTATGGTAAAATAGGATTTAGTTGTAAGTGCCGTCCACCCGTCGGTGGTTATCGACACCTTTGAGACAGTTGATAAGAGTACGGCCCGGGACCCTGTAATCTGGTTCCACGCTTGCCATAAACTCAAGGAAACCGCCTCCTTCCACGACGGAGGGGGCGGGGCGGGGTCGGTGTGTACCAGGCTGCAGCAGCAGTCTGCACTCTGCGCTGCTGGCTTCCTCCAAGTTTACAGTAAAACAAACTGGTGGTGTGATCAATGGTCATTTACAATTATTAATACTATTACTATTATTAGCATTAGTCTATATTTTGGTTGAAACCAAACCAGGAAAAAAAAGAAAAACATAAATATTAATAAAAAAATATATTAATAAAATCGATTTTTAAAAATAATATTCGATTATGGAGACTGTAACGAATAATCGAATAATCGAATAATCGCTGGCATCCCTACATAGGGATGCCAGAAACTGACCATGACCAAAATCGAAGATCGGACAGCCCTGGCGAATATTAATCGATTAATCGCCACCCCCCCTCCCCCTCCCCCCTCCCGGGAGGAGGAAAAAAAAAACACTGACAAATGGTATTCCGTTGTTTTCTTTTACTGGAACGTGTACATGGTACAAAAGGGCTCTTCAGGTAGAACAGTATTAATAATAGCATCATTGAAATAAATTAAATAAATAGCCTACTTTATGTGTATGTATGTATGGGTGTAGGCGAGAGCGCAGCCGGTTAAGGATTAGTCCTGCCGCCGAAAAAACCCTTTCCGAGGGCACAGAGCACTGCGGAGCCCCTCAGCTAAATTAACCGCACTCTTCATCTCCCATTCACTATCGATATAATGGCAGGTTATGGTAAAATAGGATTTAGTTGTAAGTGCCGTCCACCCGTCGGTGGTTATCGACACCTTTGAGACAGTTGATAAGAGTACGGCCCGGGACCCTGTAATCTGGTTCCACGCTTGCCATAAACTCAAGGAAACCGCCTCCTTCCACGACGGAGGGGGCGGGGCGGGGTCGGTGTGTACCAGGCTGCAGCAGCAGTCTGCACTCTGCGCTGCTGGCTTCCTCCAAGTTTACAGTAAAACAAACTGGTGGTGTGATCAATGGTCATTTACAATTATTAATACTATTACTATTATTAGCATTAGTCTATATTTTGGTTGAAACCAAACCAGGAAAAAAAAGAAAAACATAAATATTAATAAAAAAATATATTAATAAAATCGATTTTTAAAAATAATATTCGATTATGGAGACTGTAACGAATAATCGAATAATCGAATAATCGCTGGCATCCCTACACCTCTAATGGCATTACATTGACGATTTTAAACAAAACGTAACCCTCTCAACTTGTAAGATAACGTTAAGTTAACTTACAACTTATAGCTGCATCACGTTTTTCAGGGGAAACACAAACTGCAGAAAACGTTAGCTGCTAACTATTGTTAGCTAAGACAGCTAGCCTCCTAGCAAACGTAAGGTTAAGTTAACATTAACGTAACGTTGTAAGAAAGCAAAACGAACCTTCGAGAAAGCTTTTACTCTCAGACTTGGTGAAATTGTGTAGTGTTGCTTACCTCCAGAAGGACTTTTAGCGCGTTTCCCAGTAGACAGAGCTGTCAGAGCGGTGCCTCTCAGAAGAGCAGCCGCTGGGCGGAGTCACAGAAACGTTCAACTGATCTTCACTCCTCGACCGTTAGTGCCAGTCAAAACATACCGCTTTGTTTCAACCACTGCCGTGTCGCCGTTCCCCCGTGTCCCGCCCTCTCTGTCTGTCTGTGTCTATTTCAGTTTCGCTAGCAAGACTGCTGATAGACCAGCTTCACCAGCTTCACCAGCATAGACCAGCTAAAACCAGCTAAAACCAGCATAGACCAGCATGACATCCATGCTGGGCTATGCTGGTTTAGCTGACCAGGCTGGTCTTGAACCAGCAAGAACAGCCTGGCCAGCTTGTCCAGCCTGGTAAACCAACTAAACCAGCCTAACACCAGCCTAACACCAGCTAACACCAGCTAAAACCAGCAACCATCTTAAACTGGTCTATGCTGGTTTTTTCAGCAGGGATGTCGGCCAGGGGTGTAGAGCTATTTGTTTAAGCACCGGATTGGCAAAACAGGAGAGTAAACCAGTCTGCCTTGATCTATGAATTAATGTCCGGGACTCTCACGGTATCTGCTGCCCGCAGCTGTTTTATAGAAGGAAACCCTCCTTCATGAAATGGAGGCAGCGGGACGTATACTCGGTAAAGAGCTGTGCCTTTTTACGCACCGCCTTCGCTGTGTTTAACTTAATCAGAACAGTTTAAGAGTGACTGCAGGCTGCTCCGTGTTAACCACACACACATCTACACACATCGAACTGCCCGATTACTCCCCCTTTTATTAGTTTTATGAAGGAGATGTCCAGTCAGTCACCAAGGCGCATGATGTGTGTGTGTATGTGCTCTGCTCAGCTCAGCTCTGTGTGTTCAGTGTGTTTGTGTCTGTCCGACACCGGCATATATGCGGCTGTTCCCAAAATAAATTAGTTTAATCTTAATCTCGATGTAGTGCTAAATGCTGTCGGAAGTGCACCGGAACGAACGACATTTTCCCAGGATTCACTGGATTATCCGTAAATCACACAAACAAAACCAAAACGTTGATTTATCTGTTTTCCCGTTTTGGTTTAAAAACTGAATAACGTCGGTTTTTTGGTTTTCCGAAAAACCAAAAAACAACACCGGTTATTTTTTAAACGTTGTTAATATGTTTTGGATGCATATTGTTCTAGTATTTGTTCAGGCTGTTACATACAATTAGCCTCTGTTGCTACCTGCTGGTGGTGAGTAAATATTAAAATCAGTTAAAATTGACAACCGGTCCGCGATTTTTTTTTAATGTATCTACCGGTCCTTGGCACAATAAAGGTTGGGAACCCCTGCTCTAGAGTGGATTTGTTTCACATTCACACGATCGGGAAGCTGTCGATGTATTAAAAAGAACATTGTTCTTGTGTAATTGAAAAGTCATTTGTTGATGGTCCCTAAGTGAAAGTCTCGTTTCGCGGAGGGGATCTCGCCGTTGTAATACAGACAACAGCAGGGGATACTGACGCTGCTGGCTGGTCCGCGAATGTATGTCGAATATCCAACCTAAACTATCTTCACCGCGGTCAACCTCTCCCCTCTGGCATGGTTACTGAAAATAGTAACTAAGTACTGATACTCAAGTTCTGTACTTTAGTACGAATTCAAGTTATCAGCTGTACACTTCTTCACTACATCTCAGAGGTAATTATTTCACTTTTTACTACATTTGTCTGACAGCTTTAGTTACTTTAAGATTACAGATGTTCTTCCCCCTCCTGCCCAGTGATAACCACGTATCTCCAGATGATTTTAAATGTTTACGATGAACTAGGATCCAGTATTTATGTATGTGTTGAGGCAGTTCTCCTCCTTAAACTATGTGCCTTTAAAAAGCCTCTTGGATCATCTTGAAAATGCACCGTCTCAAAGCTGAAAACAGGCTGTTTTTCTGAAAAACTCATGAAAAGTTGACTTTTTAAAGATACGTGGTTATCACAGGACAAAGCTACACACATATGTTGATCTCATATAATCTGCTGCAATGCATTTAACAAACCAAGAGTATATAAAGGAGTTCAAATAATCTACACTATGCAATTTGTGCATTCATGCAGCAGTAATATTATTCCTCAAACAAGTATATATAATATGGAACAATATATTGCACAGTTAACACTAGAGTACCCAAAACAACCTCACAAGTAAGGTTTTGAATGCAGGATGTTTATTGATTTTTTTTCACTCAGTGGTATTATAATTTGTACTTGCTTGTTTTTAGCTGCTTGTCTATTTTCTAACTTTCTTATACATATTTTTGGAGCTGTTTTACTGTGAGAGCAATTGAAAATAATACCTGTTTGTACCTGTCCACGTGATGAGGCTGGTTATGAAACAGAGGGAGGAGCTGCAGACAGGAAGGATGTTGAAAGTTGAAGTATGAAGTCAGACTGCCAGACTCCATTTCACACTTCGACAGAGCAGCAGGAGAACAACAGGGTGAGTGTTAACACCAGGATCTGCTTTTTAACACATTAATCATTTACTCTGTTATACTGTATGTCAGAAAATATTCTGTACATTAAAATATATATATTTCCTGCAGTCGAAAGTGACATCTTCAAATGTTGTGAACTTTTTTATCCATTTCCTGGTTTCTGATTCATCAGAGTTACATAACATGTAACAGCCCAGCGCAGTCAAAATGGAGAGCAGCCTGCCTGAAGTCTGACTGATTTGTTTTATTGAAACCAAGTTTGTCATTATGATGGTTTGGATTAACATACTATAATTGTGTTACAGTTTTTCTCGATTGCTAACACACATTTTATTTAAATTGCTCAGTTTCTCAGAACACTTAACACAATTCACAAAACCACACACCCAAAGTGCAAAACATCTCATTTCTCCTGCTAAGTGAAGAACTGCACTCAAAACTACAGAAACACTTACCAAATGCAAACTTTTGCACCACATATAACACACTTCATTCATAATACTAGATGGTTTGACCACCCAACTACACACTGCTGAGCATAATCTAAAGCACTTTCATCTGTTATGGGTTATGCTCTGTACATAGAAGGTTCTGCAGAGAAAGATTGCTTGCTTATACAGAAATACAGTAAATGAAGAAATACAAATGAGTTGTTGAAAAAAATCATATTTTATTAAAAAATAGCATTGTGCATCATGCATCTCAGCACATAGTTACTATGCTTCAGATCTCTCTAAGTGTGATGGCATTGTTTTCCAAAACCCAGTTTGTAACTGCTGCTACCTGTGCCTCATTGAAAATCCTTAACCTTCCACCTGCACCTCTTTGTTTCTCAGTCCTTCAGATAAACCACAAAGACATAGTGGTTGGTCAGTGTCTGTGTTGCATAACAGTAAGTCTACCACAGTACATTGTGCAGGATTGTTGTGCAGTTATAGTATGCAACATGCCAACAATTCAATTACTGTAGTGAAGTTTCACACAACAGATATAAGCACTGATATATCATGAATTATGCAGAGCTACAAACTGGTAACCTGTTATCAAGTAAGTGTCCGGATTACAGAGGCAACAGTACATCGGATTAGATTAGGCTGAACCCTCTGTCCAGCCTCTCTCATCCTCAAACCATGGTTGATAACATTTCATTTCATTAGAGAGTACTCTTCCTCCTCCTCTCACTCTCACCCCACCTCTTCCTCCTCCTCTCACTCTCAGCCCAGCTCTTCCTCTTCCTCTTGCTCATGCTTCAATGTTGGCTTCCATTGTTGCTGTCAGAAAGTACTCACCTGTGGTCTTTTTGTCGTGCTAACATCCTGATTGATGAGCCAACAATGATGCTATCAGGTGTTTGGTCAGGTGGAACATGTTTCTTGATCATTGGTCCATGTGTGAGGCATTTTGAATATCAGTGTTTTAAACCTGCTAACATGTGACTTTATGTCAGATACCTGTGTCTTACGTGGAGAAACGTGTGCAGTGGTTTGCAAAAAGTGTCATGTTGATTTGCAAATTGTGTGAAAAGCTGAAAACGTGTTTAGAGTTTTGGAGATTTGAGCCGATGTTTTGCTCTTTGAGTGTCAGTTAAAATAATTGTGCTTTATGTATAATTTTAGTGTGTTACAATTGCAGTTTTTCTCGATTGCTGTGTGTGTGTGTGTGTGTGGGTGTGTGTGTGTGTGTGTGTGTGTGTGTGTGTGTGGTGTGGTGTGTGTGTGGTGTGTGTGTGTGTGTGTGTGTGTGTGTGTGTGTGTGTGTGTGTGTGTGTGTGTGTGTGTGTGTGTGTGTGTGTGTGTGTGTGTGTGTGTGTGTGTGTGTGTGTGTGTGTGTGTGTGTGTGTGTGTGTGTGTGTGTGTGTGTGTGTGTGTGTGTGTTGTGTGTGTGTGTGTGTGTGTGTGTGTGTGTGTGTGTGTGTGTGTGTGTGTGTGTGTGTGTGTTTGAGCAGTGTTACTGGTTTATCTCTCAGACTGGAGAAGATGAGTGATTTAAAAGAAGACGAAGAGGCCAAACCTCCAGTCCCCAGCTGTCTGTCTCTGAAGAGTGACCGGTCCAAAGAGGAACCTCCAGACTTCAGAGATGAACCCGGACCCTCAGACAGGAAGTAAGAGACTGTTTCTGCTGTGAACTGACCTGAAGAGGATTCAGTTATTAAATGATCTGATAATATAACTTGTTGATTAGTAATTACATGAACACAGTACAGAAACACTGCAGTAGAGTATAATAAAGAAACACAGTAGATTACAGTAATGCAGTTGAATTGAACTATAACAACTTATATACTTAAATCAAGTAAATCAACTTCAAACGTAAAACTTTTCACTGAACTGTAACGACAGAAACCAAGAAGCACGACTAACAAACAGAACGTTTAGCACAAGTCCAAAAATGTTCATCCGTTGAACAGACAGAAGTCAGATCAAGGAGGCAAACCTAACTAGGCAAGAAGATTGAAGGATTAGCCAATCAAGTGTCATGTTCATATTACCTCTGCTCTTTACAAGAACTAAATAATATGTGTAAAATATGTGTTGTTTCCACAGACTGAGAGCAGCTTCTCCTGATTCTGGCACATCAATTAAGAGTGACCGGTCTAAAGACTTCAGTAATGAACCTGGACCCTCAGACACAAAGTAAGAGTTTCTACTGTGACCTGACCTGGAGAGGATCCAGTTTTATGTAACGCAATGTAATTCATTAGATTCAGTTCAGAGCAAGTCCAACAATCTCTAATCAGGTGAACAGACAGAAGTCAAAAGCTGCTCTTTGAATGAACTGATGAAGTGCAAAACATGTGTTGTTTCCACAGAAGGAGAGCAGAGTCTCCAGTCCCCAGCTGTCTGTCTATGAAGAGTGACCGGTCTGAAGAGGAACCTCCAGACTTCAGAGATGAACCCGGACCCTCAGACACAAAGTAAGAGTTTCTACTGTAACCTGACCTCAAGAGGATTCAGATTTTATATATAATCGTATAATCTAAACAGTTCTTTCATAATTACATGAGCACAGTAGAGTACAGACACTCTGTAGAATGAAGTACAGAAATGCAGTAGATTAGAGTAAAGATTTGTAGTAAAGTACAAAAAGAAAGGCAGCAGAGAACTAAGTAAACTACTCCAGTAAAATAACACTCTCTCTCCACATGTAGGACCTCTGGTTAAGCAAATCAAATGCAAACATGTCAAACTTCACAAATGAATTGTAACAACAAGCCACCAATAAAAGCATTAAAGTTCAGTCAACAAGGACGAAGAGGGCAGTTAACAATATGTTAGGATATTTCAATATGCTATTATATTATCAATGTATCAGTGTTATGACATGTTCTTAAAATCACAATAATACTTGAAACAATATAAATCTTCCAACAAATGAGTTGACTACCTCAGCATCTTTTTTAGACGTATTTGAAGAGGTTTATTAATAATAGTAATAACCTGGTGAGCTGGTTGTGTTTAGCATTAGCAGATGTAACTGATTACATGTAGAGTCAATACAAAGACACACATGTGTACCTGGCAACACGAATGAAGTGAAGAAGCAACATTCATATCCCCCGTGTATTCACACAACTTGAAAAGTTACAACTTGAGTGTAAAGTTTGTGACGCTCTGTTACAAAAACAGTGTTGAGATTCTGCTCCTGTCGTCACTGACATGCTGAGATCAATCAGAAGAGGGAACATCAGCACCCAGAGCTCTACAGCACCTCATATTAAATCAGGGTTATTCATGTACCTGGATAAACCAGAGACTGTCTGTGGTGCTAACAATATAATAGATGCTGTTCTTATGACTGGATGGAGTTATTTTGAGTGTAGATGGATCAGCTACAATGTTAGCCTAGCCTAGCTTTAATCAAACCAATCTCCATTCAGAAAACAAACATTTTAAAGTGTTTTGCTCGTTGTGTTGCAGACAGACCTGACGAAGCATTAACTCAAATCAATATCATTACGTTGTTATTTCGGCATCCTTTCCATATGTGTATTGCAATTAATTAACAGGAAATTCAATGTAAATTGGGTTCAAAGTGCTAAAGTGTACCAGATTAATTCAGCTGATGTTATGAATCCAGACACAAAGCTGTGCGGTTTCCTAATGATATGAATAACTAATCACTATCTACCTTATCATGATGAAATATAATCTAATTATAATTTAAATATGAAACCATCATTTGCCACATTGTTGTACCTTTGGTGAGAATCAGCTCCACTAATGTAAAGTGCTGTAAAGGATGTGTTCATCTCCACAGAGGGAAGAGGAAGAGTGGTGTTCCTGTGGAGCAGCAGCTGTCCAGCTGTGCTCTGTGTCAGGACGTCCTGAAGGATCCAGTCTCTACCAGCTGTGGACACTGGTTCTGCAGAGAGTGCATCGCCTCATACTGGGAGCAGCTTCCTCCATCAGGAGACTCCTGCTGTCCTCAGTGTGGAGAAAGATGGAGCATTTTACAAAGTAAGAGGCCGAACATGTGCAGCCTCTTTACCGCTGTCTGGGTGCTGGGTGTCTACTCTTCTATAGAAACACTGTATCATCTGATCCCTTCTTCAAGGCTTTGGTTTTAAAGTGTGTACACAAATATTTCACGTGGAACAGCAGTGTTTCCTTAAAAAACGCTTTCTGTCTCACTCAGACATTACTACATTAGCCCAGCACTAATATAACATTTACGTATGATAGTATAAATATCTGGCAGCTAGTATTTGTGGTTCCTTCTGGAGTCTTCATGTCCAGGATTCTTTTGTGTTGTAAAGTATAGACATTAAAATGTTTTATACAAATCATGACATTTAAAACCCTGACTGTTCAGATTCTCAAAAGCATTTTCCTGATTCTCTCGTGTTTCCTTCTCTTCCAGCAGATAGTGGTCTGCAGGAGGTTTTAGAGAAACATAGGCTCAGTCTGAGGAGGAGATGTGAACGTGTGACTGAAGGAACTGATCAAAGTGAAACCCTCCTCAACAGCATCTTCACTGAGCTCTACATCACACAAGGCCTGAGTGAAGATGTTAATACCCAACATGAGGTGAGGCAGCTGGAGACAGCTTCCAAGAAAGAGACCCTCCATGACACTCCAATCAAGTGCCAGGACATCTTTAAAGCCTTACCTGACCAACAGACTCTCATCAGAGTGGTCCTGACCTACGGAGTCGCTGGAGTTGGAAAAACCTTCTCAGTGCAGAAGTTCACTCTGGACTGGGCCGAGGGTTTGGAAAACCAAGATGTCAGTCTGGTGATCCCGCTCTCCTTCAGGGAGCTGAACCTGATCAAAGGTGAGCAGTACAGTCTTCTCAGGCTGCTCCATGTTTTCCATCCAACCTTACAGAAGGTCACAGCAGAGCAGCTGGCTGTCTGCAAAGTGCTGCTCATCTTTGACGGCCTGGATGAAAGCAGACTTTCTCTGGACTTCAGAAACAATGAGGTTGTGTCTGATGTCTCACAGCAGTCCTCAGTCAACGTGCTGCTGACAAACCTCATCAGGGGGAAGCTGCTCCCCTCGGCTCTCGTCTGGATAACTTCCCGACCTGCAGCGGCCAATCAGATCCCTCCTGAGTGTGTGGACAGGGTAACAGAAGTACGAGGCTTCACTGACGCCCAGAAGGAGGAGTACTTCAGGAGGAGATCGAGTGATGAAGACCTGTCCAGCAGAATCATCTCTCACATCAAGAGCTCCAGGAGCCTCCACATCATGTGTCTGATCCCAGTCTTCTGCTGGATCACTGCTGCAGTTCTGGACCACATGTTGACTACAGACCAGAGAGGAGAGCTGCCCAAGACCCTCACTGACATGTACTCAAACTTCCTGCTGGTCCAGACCAAGAGGAAGAAGCAGAAGTATGAAGCGGGACATGAGACGAGTCCACAGCGGCTGACGAAGGCTGACAGGAAGGTTCTTCTGAAGCTGGGGAGGCTGGCGTTTGAACATCTGGAGAAAGGAAATATCATGTTCTACCAAGAAGACCTGCAGCGCTGTGGTCTTGATGTCACCGAGGCCTTGGTGCACTCAGGAGTTTGTACAGAGATCTTCAAAAGAGAGAGTTTGAGCTTCCAGAAAACAGTCTACTGCTTTGTTCATCTGAGCATTCAGGAGTTTCTGGCTGCAGTCTACTTGTTCCACTGTTACACCAGCAGAGACACAGAGGTACTGAAGGACTTCCTGAAGAGAGACGGGGACGAACACAACAGTAAAAACAGTGATTATGATTACCTATCCCTGGATGTCTTCCTTAAGGGAGCCATGGAGAAATCCCTCAGAAGTGAAAATGGCCACCTGGACCTGTTTGTCCGCTTTCTCCACGGCCTCTCTCTGGAGTCCAACCAGAGTCTGTTAGGAGGCCTGCTGGGTCGCACAGGCAACAGTCCAGAAATCATCCAGAGAGCCATCAAGAACCTGAAGGAGATGAGCAGTGATGAAATCTCTCCTGACAGGATGATCAACATCTTCCACTGTCTGACAGAGATGAAGGACCACTCAGTACATCAGGAGATCACAGAGTTCCTGAAGTCAGAGAACAGATCAGAAAAGGAACTCTCTGAGATCCACTGCTCTGCTCTGGCCTACATGCTGCAGATGTCAGAGGAGGTTCTGGATGAGTTGGACCTGGATCAGTACAACACAGCAGAGGAGGGACGACGGAGACTGATTCCAGCTGTGAGGAACTGCAGGAAGGCCAAGTAAGTCCAGATGTGATTAGCTTTATGAATTGATGTGGATCAGAAGTTTATTTCTTTAAATAAACACTATAAAATGTTTGATGTTAAATACTCTGAGAGCAAAATTAAATGATCCAGTTAATCTATTTATATATTGTGACATTTTATCATTTTTTTCTTTTCTTCACATTATTTTGAGTGATGGAGGCGACATGTCAAACACATGAAGGACTTTAGAGGTTTTATCAGAGCAGCATGTGATCACAACATACAGCAGTATTTACAGTTATCGGTGAAAGCAGTTATTAATATATCATTGCAGTTTCTTAAACATGAAATCAGATCTGTTTTTACCACAATGCTTAAGAGTTTAAAATAATGTCTGACAGGCTGACAATGAATAAAGAAAACTCTATTATTAAATTAAATGTTCATAATATGTTAAAAGTTGTTCCATTTCAAATTCAGTAAGTTAATTAAATGTTTCCTCTGTTTTTATACTAACACAAGTTGTGATATGTGTATATTATAGACTTCTTGCCTGTGAACTCTCAGAGACTGAATGGGAAGTCGTGGCCTCAGCTCTGAAGTCTGACCCCTCTCACCTGAGAGATCTGGAACTGTGTTTCACCGAGCTGCAGGATTCAGGAGTGGAGCTGCTGAGTTCTGGACTAAAGAGTCCAAACTGCAGACTGGAGTGTCTCGGGTCAGTTCACTGACTGCAGTTCATACAGATCTGTTTGTATTTATGATTTTCAGAATTTGCCTGAAGACATTTTAATGCTTTTATTTGTTTCTGTATTTCCGAATGGAAATGGAATCCAAACTTTAAGAATAACAAAGATCAGAGAAGATGAATGTGTGACGGAGAGTGTTTGAGCTTCCACAGACTTACTCTGTGCTCCATGAGTCAGTGGAGATGCTGTCAGTACTGATGAGCTGTGAGGGAGATGAAGGAGTTGTTAAACATCTGATGAGATAAACTGCTGCAGAGAGTTCCAGATGATCAGGGATTTGTTTCTACATCATTGCTGACGTTAAAACATTGTTCAGCTCTGATCAGATTATTAAAACATTGAGTTATTTCAAACAGGAACATTGTTTTCTAAAGTTACTTCATGTGTTCTTTATTCAGACTGGGGCACTGCAGTTTGTCAGAGATCAGCTGTTCTGCTCTGATCTCAGCTCTGAAGTCCAACATCCATCTGAGAGATCTGGACCTGAGTGGCAACGATCTGCAGGATTCAGGAGAGCTGCTGAGAGATCTTCTGGAGAGACCAGACTGCAGACTGGAGACTCTCAGGTCAGTTCTCCATCTGTAACTTGTGTGCTGAGATGAATATGTTAGAGTTGTGTTGACTCTGAGCTGCAGACATCAGACTGATCTCACTCTGATCCTCACTAAGCATCTTAATGCTAGAGTTGTATAATGCAATGTTGATCTTTACATTTAAATATAACAACAAAAAACCTTCACTGTAGAATTCACTCTGAACCTTTTAAACAGCTGGAATTCATCTTGTATTCTCCATCATGATTTTAACAAATGATATAAAATACAATAATTAAATAATTCTATTAAAACTATCCAACACTAACAAGTATGTTCAGTTGTTGCTGTTTCCAACATGTTCCTGAAGCTACATGATGCTCATACTGACTGAATAGTTTACTCTGAAGATGCTGTGATTTGATGAATCCACTGTTCCTAAAATACATATTCTGGATGTTTTTCTTCACATTTAAAATTCATCCTGAATTGTGATCTTTGTAAACGATGTGATCTTGAGTTTAATCAGTTTCTGTGGTTTGTATTTGTCTGGCTGCACATCATGAGTTAGTGTAGATGGAGCAGAGTTTCAGATGTGAAGTCTCCTCGTTTTATTGAAGGAGAAGCACGTTGTCTTTAATATTAACCTGTTACGCACGGCCCCCCCGGTACCGGGCGGATAAACGCGTCATTTGCAGGAAACAACGTCTAAGGAATCTTAATATTTAATAAAACTATGAATGTTTTATATCCATGTAACGGGAAGAAACTCAGCTAACTGATCTTTTTAATTTTTTTTTCCAAAGAAAACCCACAATGCTAGCACTCAGCCTCTGAATTTTCCACGCGCGAAAAAATTTAACCTAAAACGGCACTTAAACTCACAATAACTCCCTTATTACTTATCCTAGATGCACAGCCAACCACTCGTTTTTGGTGTACTGGAGACACTGAATCTGTGTAAAAAAACCTCAACACTCAGTGATAAACATTTGCGACGCTATAAACGAAAGCGTACATCATAACATGTGGAGCTAAGTAGCTAGAAACGCTAACATGGCTTACCTTGGTCAAAACTGGTCTTCAATGGCATTACAACGATAAAAAAACGATGCTGCAATTAATCCATAGGTTCATCCAATGTATCTGTGCCCTCTTTGAAATTATTTCTGATAATCCATAAGCAATAAAACTGCTTTTTTGTTTCCAGATGCCAGAGCTAGAATGTCCCTCCACTCTGCTGCACATTTACATGCGCGCATCCCCCACCTTTTCTCTTCACAACGTGTGTGTTTGGGGGCCTCCCCCTTCGATTCTATTGGCTCTAACAGTCAGAAAGAGGTGTCAACCATCAAAATCGAGCAAGGGGGGCCAGAGATATAGAAAAAAAAACATTTTCACCCAAATCACCTCAGAGGTGGGGTGGTTTTGGCTAAACCTCTCTAAAAAGGTCAAATGTCACTTGTTTTGCATCAATCTTGATTCAGGGTACTTATTATATGTTGTACTTTGGATTCCTAAAGCTTTTAGTCTATTAACCCATCATCCAAGGGTAGTTTTCACTATCTGTAAAAAATAATTTTTGGACGGACACTATAATTTACAGTTTTTTACTATGTAAAATCTGAATTTTCTTTCAAATAGAAAACATTTATATTGATTCTGACACTTCTACATCCAACTCACATATGTAACCTTGCTTTGATAAAAGAAATTATTCATATAACCCTTTCAGAAGTTAGGTTGTAGTAATTTGTTTTGAGCATGTCATTTTCGAGCCTGAAACATGAAAAACAGGCTTGGTGCTTAACAGGTTAATGAGAGCTCTTTTCCTCTTTCTGTATCTTACAGTTTTTAACCTGTTTGGAGTTTCCACTTTCTAAACTTCTTCAGCTCTGAGCAGATTATTAAACCTTGAGTTATTTCAAACGGGAACATTGTTTTCTAAAGTTACATCATGTGTTCTTTATTCAGACTGGAGGGCTGCAGTTTGTCAGAGATCAGCTGTTCTGCTCTGATCTCAGCTCTGAAGTCAAACATCCATCTGAGAGAGCTGGACCTGAGTGACAACGCTCTGCAGGATTCAGGAGTGGAGCTGCTGAGAGATCTGGAGAGTCCAGACTGCAGACTGGAGGCTCTCAGGTCAGTTCACTGACTCTCTGTTACTGCTGGAGATCTCATGTGTTTCATTAACAGTTTAACCTAATGCTTGAACAACCATACATGTGTATATGTCGTTGTGAGGGTTTTTCTGCTCACCCAGTTAAAAAGGACAGAAGGAGAGGAAGGCTTGCTTAAAAGAAAGCTTTATTGACTGGCCACAGCTTGCAAACAATACATCAATACTTTAGGAAACAGACAGAACACTGCTGCCAGTGACAGGCTTTCTTGGGGCAAGTCATTCTGCCCCCAGGACCCAGACCAAGAGACAAGAACCAGGTTACTGACATGCTTTACTGTTCACCTGGTTACCTGATCCTTGTCCAGCTGCCTGGAGCCACCCCCATCCCTCCAGCAGCCGGCGCTCTAACCACACCCCACTGCCACAGTCGCTTTGTTCATATTCTTATTTTTCTTGTACTACATTTAGTCTGCAGTCATAAAAGTTGACTGTTTCTTCAAATATATATGTTAGATATCCACTGTTAGTTGTTAAAGTAAATGTATGTTGTCTTTATTAAATGGTCACATCTGAATAAAGAAGTTCATCTGAACTAATATTAGTTTTACATTGATCTCTGAAGCATACATGTTTTTCTTGCTTCCCATTGATTTCAATGTTTTCACAGATAATAAACAGAAGGCTGATATTATGATGGTCCACAATAACAGAATGACAGTCACTGTAATTCAGGGAAAAGCTCATTGATTAGGAGACAGTAATGTTGAGCTACACTTAATAAACCTGAACATCTGATTGGATCATAAACAGATTTTTATCCTCATCATGTTTTCTTTATTCAGTCTGAGGAACTGCAGTTTGTCAGAGATCAGCTGTTCTGCTCTGGCCTCAGCTCTGAAGTCCAACATCCATCTGAGACATCTGGACCTGAGTGAGAACGCTCTGCAGGATTCAGGAGTGGAGCTGCTGAGAGATCTTCTGGAGAGTTCAAACTGCAGACTGGAGACTCTCAGGTCAGTTCTCCATCTGTAACTTGTGTGCTGAGATGAATCTGTGAGAGTTGTGTTGACTCTGAGCTGCAGACATCAGGCTGATATCACTCTGATCCTCACTGAGCATCTTAATGCTAGAGTTGCATAATGCAATGTTGATCTTTACATTTAAATATAACAACAAAAAACCTTCACTGCAGAATTCACTCTGAACCTTTTAAACAGCTGAAATTCATCTTGTATTCTCCATCATGATTTTAACAAATTATATCAAATACAATAATTAAATATTTATATTAAAACTATCCAGCACTAACAAGTATGTTCAGTTGTTGCTGTTTCTAACATGTTCCTGAAGCTACATGATGCTCATACTGACTGAATAGTTTACTCTGAAGAAGCTGTGATTTGATGACTCCACTGTTCCTAAAATACATATTCTGGATGTTTTTCTTCACATTTAAAATTCATCCTGAATTGTGATCTTTGTAAACGTTGTGATCTTGCGTTGAATGAGTTTCTGTGGTTTGTATTTGTCTGGCTGCACATCATGAGTTAGTGTAGATGGAGCAGAGCTTCAGATGTGAAGTCTCCTCGTTTTATTGAAGTAGAAGCACGTTGTCTTTCATATTAATGAGAGCTCTTTTCCTCTTTCTGTATCTTACAGTTTTTAACCTGTTTGGAGTTTCCACTTTCTAACCTTCTTCAGCTCTGAGCAGATTATTAAACCTTGAGTTATTTCAAACAGGAACATTGTTTTCTAAAGTTACATCATGTTTTCTTTATTCAGACTGAGGAGCTGCAGTTTGTCAGAGATCAGCTGTTCTGCTCTGATCTCAGCTCTGAAGTCCAACATCCATCTGAGAGATCTGGACCTGAGTGAGAACTATCTGCTGGATTCAGGAGTGGAGCTGCTGAGAGATCTTCTGGAGAGACCAGACTGCAGACTGGAGACTCTCAGGTCAGTTCACTGACTCTCTGTTACTGCTGGAGATCTCATGTGTTTCATTAACAGTTGAACCTAATGCTTGAACAACCAGACATGTGTATATGTCGTTGTGAGGGTTTTCCTGCTCACCCAGTTAAAAAGGACAGAAGGAGAGGAAGGCTTGCTTAAAAGAAAGCTTTATTGACTGGCCACAGCTTGCAAACAATACATCAATACTTTAGGAAACAGACAGAACACTGCTGCCAGTGACAGGCTTTCTTGGGGCAAGTCCTTCTGCCCCCAGGACCCAGACCAAGAGACAAGAACCAGGTTACTGACATGCTTTACTGTTCACCTGGTTACCTGATCCTTGTCCAGCTGTCTGGAGCCACCCCCATCCCTCCAGCAGCCGGCGCTCTAACCACACCCCACTGCCACAGTCCTTTTGTTTATATTCTTATTTTTCTTGTACTACATTTAGTCTGCAGTCATGAAAGTTGACTGTTTCTTCAAATATATATGTTAGATATCCACTGTTAGTTGTTAAAGTAAATGTATGTTGTCTTTATTAAATGGTCACATCTGAATAAAGAAGTTCATCTGAACTAATATTAGTTTTACATTGATCTCTGAAGCATACATGTTTTTCTGGCTTCCCATTGATTTCAATGTTTTCACAGATAATAAACAGAAGGCTGATATTATGATGATCCACAATAACAGAATGACAGTCACTGTAATTCAGGGGAAAGCTCATTGATTAGGAGACAGGAATGTTGAGCTACACTTAATAAACCTGAACATCTGATTGGATTATAAACACATTTTCATCCTCATCATGTTTTCTTTATTCAGACTGTGGGGCTGCAGGTTGTCAGAGATCAGCTGTTCTGCTCTGGCCTCAGCTCTGAAGTCCAACATCCATCTGAGACATCTGGACCTGAGGTACAACGATCTGCAGGATTCAGGAGAGAAACTGCTGAGAGATCTTCTGGAGACACCAGACTGCAGACTGGAGACTCTCAGGTCAGTAAGGGGTCTCTGTTGGTTCAGCAGTATTGTATTAAACACAGGGAGGTGTTTCTCTCTCTGGGGAATCTCAACAGATCAGTGATGTTACCCACTGACTGCAGGCTCTTTCATTCTTCCATAAACTATATATCGTAAGCTGAAAATGCAAAGCCACGTTTAGTTAGTTAGTAACTTTCTAACAGACATATAGGATTTTACAGAAGAGTGGAAAAGGTTTCCTGTTTTGTTTCCTGTCATGTTTTTAGTTTCTAGCCTAATGAGCAGTTACTTCCTGTGATGCAGCTGAGAGCTGTGGCAGTCAGTCGTAGTGTTTTGTTTTTGTTTGTTTTTTATTCATTGTACAGGCTACAGACACAAAACATGGACATTACAATAACAAAATGAGACATTCCTATCTCAGATAGAAACAAATAAAATACAGTCAGTTGGTCACTTCAATATTTCATAAACAAAACAAAAAATAGTTGACAGTCCAATATCATCAAAAGCATTTATTATTCCTTTTGATCCCACTCTTCACTAGAGCTGATTGTTTCCCATGTCATGGTGTGTTGAGCCACCCTTTGATTCTTTGTGCCAATCATCCTTTCCAAAATAAATTGTGTTTTTAATCTACTTTTCACACACCATAAATTCAGATTTTTCCTTGATTGAGCTTTAAAAATAAGTATTTTTGCCAGAAGAATAATTGTTTTCATCAACTGTGTATTGTCCTCGTCCAAAAGCCCAAACAAAAGACCAAAGGGAGTAAATGCAAAATCAATATAAAGTGTCTTAAGCCAGTTTTGAATCTCAGTCCAAAGTCTTGCAACGTATGGACAATACAAAAATAAATGCATCTGGTCTTCCTCTTCCTCCTCACAGAATCTACAAAGTGGTGACGGTTCAATATTAAAAGTGTTGAGTTGTTTTTTTGTAGCGATAATCTTGTAAAAGATCTTCAGTTGGAAGATTCTTGAATAGGAATCAATTGTTGTTTTGTAAATGGTTCTAAAACATTGTTTCCAGGGTATCAGAATATTAAATTCCTCTTCCCAGAAAGAACAGACCGCATGAGGAAAAGCAGTAAGCCCCTTGCTCTGTAAACAGTGATTATAAATTATTTTATTTATTTTCCTTTTTGATAGCCATTTCTGACTTCTTGTATGAGGTGTGCAGACCTGTTGTCGGTTTCCATCTTTTTTTAATGTATGTTTCCAGTTAGTTGGAATAGCTGAAAGCAGCTGGTTAAAGTGAAGGAAATCACATATCTGACCATACATACAGCAAAAACACTGATATGAAATGTAATTACCTGAGCTATCTAGTAGATCATTCATACAAATAATTCCTTTTCTCAGGAGACTTTCCCATAATAGTGGTTTTCCATCTATTAAAACTTCTGAGTTCAACCATATTAATTGATTTTGGATTTCTTCTGGTGTATCTGGGGGGGAATACTGGAAACTCAACCAAGCCTTCAATGCATCTTTAACAAATGGTGAGATTTCTACTAATCTTTCTTTGAATAACCATTCACAGTGGTGAGACTTTAATTAGAAAAAGGGAAACAGTTTACAGTCAAAAAATAAGTGCCCTGAAAATAAGTTCTGACTTGTTCTCCAAAGGCTATTATGATACATCTTATTCATCCAAGATGCTTTTAAGGATGAATTCATTGCTGCCACATTTTTAAAGTTTAGTCCACCATTTTCAAGTGTATTATATACAGGGGTGCACATAACTGGTACGCAGGTACGCATGCGCGGCAACAATCTGAAATGCGTACCGTCACTTGTGTCACAAAGCGCATTTGCGTACCGACGTACTTGTGAAGCTTTTCCAGAAGGCGGTTAGATCACCGGACGACAGAGTCTCCAGGTGCACAGACAGGGCTGCTGTTAACGTCGGTCTATACAGCAGCCCTGCGCTAAAACAGCTGATCACAACGGTCACACACTCCGCGGTCACGAAACTCTGTACTCCACTACCTTAAACATTCGTTGTTCAAAGCTTTTAAAAAAAGACGCCTCTGGGGAGGGAAGTGAAATTAAGAGATAAACAAACTGCGGAATCACAAGAGCATTAATTCATGTAATCTTTCCCTGTAATGAGAGAGCTTTCCCTTTCCAAGGTTGAATTATTTTCTCAGTTTTCTGCATTTTTCGCTGAAAATGTAGCTTAACTAGATCTTTGAGACTTTCTGGAATATGAATTCCCAGAACATTTACTGAACCATTACACCATTAGACTGGAGCTGAGCATTGTAGCTCGAAAACTGTGCCTCTTAATGTTCCTATTCTCATAATACAGCATTTATCAAAGTTAGGCCTTAGCCCAGCTCATTTTGAAAAGTTATTTAAATCAACTATGAGGGCATCTAATGAAGTTTTTTCAGGCTGTAGAAAGAAAGTTGCATCATCTGCATATAATGTTACTTTTGTTTCAATACCATTTGATCTTAAGCCTGTTATAAATTAATTGTTTCTAATTCTGAGACCAAGAATTTCAATGCATAATAGAAACAGATATGGAGACAGTGGACACCCTTGACGTACGCCTCTGGACAGGCTGAAGCTTTTTGATAAATATCCATTATTAACTATTTGACTGGTAGGTTGGTTATATAAAACCTTCACCCACTGTATAATGGTTTCCCCAAAATGAAAGAATTGGAGGGGTTTTTGAATGAAATCCCATTTTACTTTATCAAAGGCTTTTTCAAAGTCAGCTATAAATTAAAGCCCTGGTTTTCCATCCTCTTCATGATTATCTATCATATCAAGCAGATGGAGAATATTATCTCCAATAAAACGCCCTTTTATAAAACCTGTTTGATCAAGTTTTATTATATTCCCAATTACTATTTTGATTCTCCGTGCAATACATTTGGACAGAATGCGGGTATCGCAACAAAGTAGTGTCAGTGGTCTCCAAAGCTTCATATGAACAGGATTCTTGTAATGCCCCTCTGGGTCTTGCTTCAGTAACAATGTGATGATGCCTTCTTTCTGTGTATCTGATCATATTCCTTGTGTAAAGTAGTAGTTAAAGGATGCCAATAGAGGTTTTTTAGTTTCTGTGTAGAAGGTTTTATAAACTTCAACAGGCATACCGTCAATCCCTGGTGATTTACCAGGAGCGAAGGAATTAATAGCATCCAGTAACTCTTCTTCTAAAATGTTTCCTTCACAACTTAGTTGCTGATCTACTGACAGTATCTGATCATAATTCTTTTGAAAAAATAACTCAATATTGGATCCTACAGGAGACTGGAGCCAGAGCATATAAGGTTTTAAAATAATCCACCTCTTCAGCTAATATTTCCTGTGGAGATGTAAGTAGAATACCATTTGGAGTATACAGGCTCATAATGTTTTTTTTGGAAGAATTTCTTTGGTTGAGTCTTAAAAAATGAGCCGTGCACTTTTCCCCTTTTTCCATCCATGTGGCACGGGATCTATAAATTATACCATTCACTCGCTCAGAGTATAAATGTTCCAGTTCTAGTTGTTTATTCTTTATCAAATAAGTTGTTTCTATGCATAACGATTGCTTTTCATCCAACGTTTTAGTCAATTCATTGACCTCCTCTATTAGACTCTTCTCCTTTATCAAATATTGTTTTTGTTTCCATGACCCCATTTTAACAGTGTGTCCTCTAAAAACACACTTAAAGGCTTCCCAGACGTTGTGAGGGTCCGATTAATTATTATTAATTTGAAAAAAATCTTTGATTAGTTCTTTAGTTTTTTCAATCAAATCCGTATCATTTAAAAGTGATAGGTTGAATTTCCAATACCCCCGCCCTCTGGGATATTCTGCTGTAATAATTTGCAGTGTTACGATGGCATGGTCAGATCTTAATCGGTCACCAATACTACATTTTAATACTTTGTGAACCAGGGAAAAGGTGATAAGAAAGTAGTCAATGCGACTAGCTTGTTGTCCCCTGCGCCACGTATACCTGCTTGAATTTGGATTTCTTTGTCTCCAAATATCCACTAAATCTAAGGATGCCTTGAGTCGTTGGATTTCATTTAAGGCCTGTGGGTGATTATTAAAAGAATGAGTACCTGTACGATCCTTACTTATGTTTAACACCCTATTGAAATCTCCAACTATAATATATATATATATTTTTTTTAGAGAGGAGATAACTTTATGGATCTCCTCAAAAAAGAATGAAGTCTTTGATCTCTTTCGATATTGCCTCCTTCATTTCAAGCATCAGATGTTTTATTTCTCCTACTTCCGCCATTGTGTGGACAGGTGACGCAAATTGTTTGTTCGTCCGTTTTCTGTTTGGTAAAGTTATTTTTTCCCCCGTTACACCCGATCTCAAATTCATCCCCTATTAATGTTTAGTTGTGAGCGCAAAACAGAGATATTTAAACCACCATATCCTTCTTCTTATCCTTCTTGTGGGGTTGAGGAGCTACCCAGCTTTTCACGCTGCCGCCATCTTTAAAGGGCACACACTCCGTTAACTTACTTTGCTGTTGTGCCGATTCTGGCTGGAGAGCGTTTGTTTGTTGTCTCCTCAGTCGTAGTGTTTGCAGAGAAGATATGATGGGATGTAAAGCATGAGATCAGTCAGGACTCTGAAGCTGACTAACTCAAAGAACAAACACTTATTTTAAACTTTATCCAAAATTGTTGGATTGTGTTCATCCCTGCAGGATCGGATATGATGAGACGTTCACAGCCAAGATCCAGAAGACCTGTGAGTACTGAAACCATATCCTCCATTCATCAAACTATTGTACATTAAATCTGATCTTAAAAGATATTTATAGTACAATAATTATTATTATTGTTTTATTATTATTGTTCTCTGTCACCACCTCTCTCCATCAGGTGACTCCGATGTGGAACAGGAAGTGAAGACAGACAGAAAGGTGAGAGAGGAGCAGTTGTACAGAGTGAAGTATATTTATTTCACCACTGAATGAAATATAATTATTAGGGCTGTCAAGTTAAATGCACTAACGCTCGCAATTTATCTAGAAACCTGAACAATATCCCGCCCCAATGTGCTGTGATTGGCTGTTACTGTGATTGGCTGGTAATACTGTGCTGTGATTGGCTGATACTACTGTGCTGTGATTGGCTGGTAATACTGTGCTGTGATTGGCTGGTACTGCTGTGACATGCTAACCCGTTAATAACCCGTTTGAAATTGACGATGAACTCAGATGATCCAGACTCATTTGCATTTTTCAAATTGGTCTGAATATGTTGTGGAATTGTGGTTTGGTTTCATGAAGCTAGAACTTAACTTGATTTCTATTAAAATAACTAACTTTGTTTGTTCCAGGCTCCTGAATCCTTCTCACCTGAACACACAACTGAGTCTTCATACAGGTAATCCTATAACATGACCAAACATTATTTTAAACACATGAAAAATATATATTCATTTAATTGTGTTTGATTTCATGTCTTTCACCTTGAGGTATTGCATCCAATCTCTTTCCAACAGACGTTAATAAAATAATGCCTCTGTGTGTAGGAAGGATTGTTTTCTTGTTCCAGTCTAGATCCTCGCTGGACTAGACATTTTGTTAATTTAATGAAAATGTGTTTACACACACATTCTGATGCATGTGGACACATCTTCAGTGATGTTCCTGTAATCATCAGGTGTTTCAGATCTTTCAACAAACCCTCCTCCAGGTCAGACTCCAGCTGGATGAACACCTGTCAGTCAGAACACAGGCCAGTGAAGGCTTGTTGTAGTAACCTGTCCACTGTGTGTCTACAGGTTCAGGTGTCCTGGTCCAGGTGAATTCCAGTGTGATTCGACTGACCTGGTGTTCGTCATGGCTCAGGAGGCGGAGCTTCTGTACAGGACGGTCCCTTGGGAGGAGAGCCTCCTCCAATCACATGGCAAGAAGCCAGCAGGGCCGCTGTTCAACGTGAAGAGTTCTGATGAAGCTGCCGTCTGCCAGCTCCACCTGCCACACAGTGAGACAGAGGAAGGTAAAGACATCTCGTGTTAACAAATACACTTATATAATGATTAGCACTTTATACTATTCACTAGCGTTCAAGAGTTATAAACCAGCTTTATTAAACTATAACAAATATAACAACAGTATAATTCAGGCACCAAATCTGTTTCAAAAGAAGAAGAATTAAATTACTAAAACATCCATTTACCGTAGTCGATGTGTTGCATGACATCATTATTGAAGCATACGATGCAATGCAGCTCTAAATACTGAGTTAGTTTTTCTTTGGGCCCTCTGCAGTCTCCTCTCTGTAATATTAAAGAGATTTAAACTGTGATTGGTCAGTCCACAGCATGCTCAGCTGCTAACAGTGCTAACTCAACGCTAACTCTCTGTTACTGTTGTGATGCTAAGCTAGCAGTTTGATTCATTCTTACTTTGTTATTCATCTGTTGCTCTTTCTGCTCTTTACATTGTCAGTCTAGCTGAACCATGTACAAAACAAAACAACAGACAACAACATTTATAAGTTAGACTTTCTACGCCCTGAAAGCTTTAGAAAACTCTTCACACATCTAGAGAATCACTCAGACATGAGAGCGGACACAGTCAAGCTGTTCTGGCAGCAGATCACAAACATTTCAGCAGTCTTGTGAATACAAAAGAATTAATAAAGTTTATGCATAACAGCAAATGCTCACATCCAGAAAGATCACAGGGGGCGGAACAATAATGAAACATTAGAATAAAAGGTGGAGGATATAAACTGGTACATCCTAGTGAGGCTCCAAAGTGAATGACATTAGATGAACATTAGCTCTGAACTAAAGTGGTGTGACATTGAATATGATGAAGCTGTTTCAGCAGCAATGCAACAGATGACCAGCTCTTTGCTCCACAGCGCTGCTCCTGGACGGCCTGTTGTCTGTCGTCCACGTCACTGATGAAGGCCTGAGCATCTTGGAGCCGCTGGAGGTCACACGCACTCACGTGGTGGTGAAGGTGCCTCACCTCTCTTACTTTGGCCTGGTCTGGAATATCATTAAAAGGTATCTGCTTCTGCGGGTAAAGGGCAAAATTCTGGTGTTCCTTCAACCCCCGGTCAGAGAGGAGCAAACACTGGATGTACATCTGCTGCAGAAAAACGTCCCTAAGAAGGAGGTAAGGCCATATGCTCACCATCAGACTAAACACTGGTTTTAAACCACAGCTGTTTCCACACACACTGCTCTTCTTCTCAAACCTTCTCGTGCTGGGAGAAGAATAAGATCTATCTGAACTGTAAATCTTCAGATCGCTCTTTGTGGTTTTGTATGATTCTCTCTCAGCATGTCTTTCTGTCTGCGGAAACTGATGGCATTAATGTTAAACACATCACACAGAGCTGAAAGACCTGCTGAGATGAATCACTGCCAAGACAACGTGATCTCATCCCTACCAGCCACATTTTACAGCTTGGGCAGCAGCCTTTTGTGTTGTGTAACTGACACAGACGGTTTGTGTTTGGGTTAACGTTGGAATAGCTTCTTCAATAGCTTATCTCAAAGAATTAAAATCATCTCATTTTAATATTCCTTTACAAAGGCAATATATACTTATATTTATATTGTGATTGATTGTATATCTCATCACTTTGTGGAGCAGGTCTGTCAACAGTTGTTGTTGTTTAATATGATCTTTAAATAAAGTTGCCTTGACTATCAAAGCATAACTAAAGTTACTCTGTTACTAAAGGTTGCTGATCAACACAAACGTGCTGAGAACATCACAATCTCCACCAGCTGTGAGCTGGAACTGTTCAAAGGTTACAGTGTGCACTGTGAACCTGAGGGCTTCTTCATTCAGCCTGAGGTGAGTCACTGATACTCCTCTAAAGAAACACAATGATCATTAACACACATGTATCTGCATGTGGATCCACAATCAGGAAAGAAACAGATAAACTTTTAACTTCTGCTTCTGGTTTTCAGAGTAAAACATTTGAATCAAATTTTGGACCAGATTACGATCCGACATTTCAAGTTTCCCTGAAGACGAGCACAAAGACAGTGGATTTGAGGGTCAAGGACCAAGGTGGAAACGTAGTCTGGAGTTATCTCGTGTCACTGGAAGGTAAAGACTCCACCTGAGCTCAGACACAGTGATAGACTGATAACTCTAAAGCTCCATCTCATAGCCTTCTCTATTAACCTGTTAAGCCCGAGAGACCCCGGTACCGGGGCACTCCCACAACATCTTGCAGGAAACAGTGTCTGAGCGCATGTTCATTTAATAAACTATGAATGTTTTATATCCATGTAACGGGAAGAAACTCATCTAACTGATCATTTTTATTTATTTTTCAAAATAAAACCCACAATGCTAACGCTGAGCCTCTGAATTTGCAACGAGCGAAAAATGCTAACAGATTACTGCACCGAAATTCACTCACAAAACCTTATTATTTATCTTTTCTGCACATCCATGACATCGTTTCACCTCGTGCGGTGACACAGAATCGAAGGGTACCCTCATTATCACTCAATTATACGAAATCGCGACTTTATAAACAAAAACAGACATCAAAACATGTGGCGCTAGGTAGCTAAAAATGCTAACATTGTTTACCTTGTGTCGTAGTCTGGTCACAAGTGGTCTTCAATGGCATTAAAACGATAAAAACGCTGCTGAAGTTAATCCATAGGTTAATCCAATGTTTAAGAAATGATTTCTGATAATCCATGAGCAATAAAACTGCTTTTCCGTTTCTAGATGTCAGAGCTAGAGTGTAGGTTCGCTCTGATGCAAAACTACATGCGCGAAGCCCCCACCTTTTTGTTGTGCCATGTTAGTGAGAGGGGAGATTCCCCTTTGATTCTATTGGCTCTAACGGTCATAAAGAGATGTCAATCACCAAAATCGAACAATGGGTTCCAGAGAAACGGTAAAACCCACATTTCCACCCAAATCACCCCAGAGGTGGAGTTTTATTTGCTAAATCTCGCTAAAAAGGTCACATGTCACTTGTTTTGCATCAATCTTGATACAGGGTACTTATTATATATATTGTACTTCGGATTCCTAAAGCTTTTAGTCTACTAACCCATCATCCAAGGGTAGTTTTCACTATAAGTAAAATAGAATTTTTGGACGGACACTATAATTTACAGTTTTTTACAATGTTCAATCTGAATTTTCTTTAAAATAAAAAACATCTATATTTTTCTGACTCTTCTACATCCAACTCACAGGTTTATAATTACTTTGAGGAAAAAGATTATTAATTTAACCCTTTTAGAAGGGAAGATATGGTCATTTGTTTTGGGAATGTCATTGTTGAGCCTGAGACCTGAAAACCTAACAGGTTAAGGCTCCATGGCAGCGCATCATTACGAAATTAAACACACAATCTGCAATGTTCTAAAACTATAGTAAAAACTAGTGTGGTGTGGTGGTGAAACAGCGTTGCATCATGGGAGTTGTAGTCTTCAGCTTCTCATGGTTAAGTGGATTACGGCATTACAGGAGACCGTGATGAAACGTACTGTTACCTTTAAAATTACACATCTCTCCGAACCATTTGAGATAACCTATGTACACAACTCAAGCAAGTATACATATTACAGGTGTAGGAGTTTTTATACATTTGAATGAGGGTTACATATTATAACTTTAAGTGAACAGAAATCCACCTCTGGCAATGTCGAGTTACTTGAATTTTTAAGAGATCTGTTTAATGTGATTGTTGGTTAACAAAAGTATTTTCCCTGTTTATCTACCAGGTCCAAGACATGCATTGTACCAGAAAAATGTCCCAGCAGAGAGCAGAGTCTCAGCAGAGAGCAGAGTCCCAGCAGAGAGCAGAGTCCCAGCAGAGAGCAGAGTCCCAGCAGAGAGCAGAGTCCCAGCAGAGAGCAGAGTCCCAGCAGAGAGCAGAGTCCCAGCAGAGAGCAGAGTCCCAGCAGACCAGAGGCTGCTCTTAGTTCGGACAGAGTTCATTCAAAGAGTGTCTCCAACTCTCCTGAACGACCTTCTGGATAAACTCTTTGAGTCTGAAGTGATCAGTGATTCTGAAATGACGTCAGCCAGAACCAAACCCCAAAATGACGGAGCACGAGAGGTGGTGGACGCGGTGCGAAAAAAAGGAGCTGCAGCCAGCAGGGTTCTGATCAATGCTCTCCGTGATCTGGACCCGTATCTTTACAGAGAGCTCAACTTGAGCTGAGGCAAAACCTTGTGGAGTGTGTGTGACAGTTGAAGTCTAGTCCTCTGTTTTGTTACCTGTACATTTTTCCCCTTGTCCTTGAAGCTAACACAGATTCTGAGCGAAGGCCACTTTCCTTCTCTCTTTTCTCCTGGACTCCCTCCTGAGAGCAGCTACCCGTATTGGCCTATCCTGTCTCCCACCACCTCCACAGTGAGGACTCCTGTCTCCCACCTCCTCCACAGTGTCCAGAGGACTCCCCAGGACAGAGCTTCCTTACCAGTCTGTTCAGTCTCTTCCTGTCTTCCTGTCAGCAGCCGAGATGCTGCCGCCCCAGCAGGCCACACCATAGAAAATGGCTGATGCCAAAACAGTCATAAAATGTGTGAAGGAGTGCACCCCTTTCGGGGTGAAAGACCTCAGTCTCCTCAGCAGAAAGAGTCTGCTATGTCCCTTCTTGTACAGAGCAGCAGAATTATCAGTCCAGTCCAGTGTATTGTTCAGATGAACACCCAGGTATTTGTAAGATTTCAGAATCTCAATGTCCGCTCCCTGGATGTTCACTGGTGTCGGGGGGGGAGTGTTGGCGCCGTCTGAAATCCACCACCAGCTCCTTGGTCTTCCCTGCGTTGAGCTGGAGGTGGTTCCTCTGGCACCAGAGGGTGAAGTCCTGCGTCAGCTCTCTGTACTCCCTGTCGTCCTCGTTGAAGATGAGGCCAACGATGGCGGAGTCGTCAGAGAACTTCTGCAGGTGACAGGTTGCAGTGTTGTAGGTGAAGTCTGCAGTGTAGAGGGTGAAGAGAAACGGTCCAACACCGTCCCCTGGGGGGCCCCCGTACTGCTTACAATGAAAATAAAAAAAGACAACTTGATAAATTATATATTTTTTTCACACATTATAGTTCCATTCAAGATTTTAAGTTTTTTTTGTCGTCATATTTGTGTGTCATGTTATTAATACAGTATGAACAGATTAGTAACAAACCACACAAAGAATGAAGTTAAAGACTTATTTAATGTGCATCTGGAAAGCTTTGCTATTCTCTTACAGTACTTTACAATATTTCAAAAGGTCACGTTTTAATACAAAGTCAAACAAAAACAATAATATAAACTGGCTAATATTTCTGATTCCAGCTAATCAATAACAATTAGATTCAAGAGAGGATTTCTGTGTGAGGGTGAAGGTTTAGAAACTTATCATCTAAGAATAGGAGGCCTTGTTCTGATAAATAACGTGAGGAATATTAACGATAAATACAGGCACTTGCTGAATCCATCGTTTTCTGACACACATTTCTCCGTACACACTTATAATAACAAGCTATAAATAATCATAAACAATAAACAGTGCAACAATTCTCTATGTGTTAAAAAAAGGAATGGAAATATAGTATGAATACTGTGGCGCTGATCGTGTTTATAAAATATATGATTTCAAGACACCCGTATACAAGATGGCGCTGTGACTTCCCGATATCCGCCATTTTGGAGAGCTATGTACGGCAACCCAAGTAGGACATTTGACACAGAAGCGTTTCGCAAAGAAGAGAAAAAAACTCAAAAATCCCGACAACCTAATTATTTTTATTGCAACGTAATTTCCCGATTATTTGAGATGAACTCCTTTTAGTGGGTTGAGTAAATTCAATCATTTATGGCATTAATAATGTATATATAATTCTTAACTGTGAATGTCTTTCATTTTATGTCAAATCAGAAATGTTTTAGTCTGGCCAAAACGTTCTCTGTTCCTGGAAAAAAGGGAAATGACATAAAATATTTTCCATAAAAAAAGTCGATTCAAGACAAAAACTCTGTTATTAAATCTGTATTTTTCTTATATGACAATTATTACTAAATCTGAAAGGTCTTTCCCAGCTTTGTAATTTCTCTGTTATCGTATTTCTTATCGTTTATAAATGTATGGCAGACCAACACATTCTTGCGCAGTGCAACTCAGGCAGCCGTCTGGACGTCAAATGTCCTATGTGGGTTGCCGTACGTAACTGTCCAATATGGGGGGTATGACTACCCAATTTTACGAAGGGCAACCCAAATAGGACATCATAGAAATTACAAAGCTAGGGAAGCTCTTTCAGAATTAGCAATAATTGTCCTATATTTGAAAAACACAGAGATTTGTTCTTGAATCAACTTTTTTTTAATGAAATGTCCCTTTCTTCCAGGAAGCTCAACAGAGAACGTTTTGGCCGGACTAATACATTTCAGATTTGACATCAAATGAAAGACATTCACAGTTAAGATATTACTTATTAATACCATAAATGATTGCCTACATTTACAGTTTCTTATTTCTGCAGTTTGGTAGCTGAAGTTAAATCCATTCCTCACTTATTGTCAGAATGTAAATAACCCACTAAAAGGGGTTATTCTCAAATAATCGGGAAATCACGTTGTAATAACAATAACTCATCTCTCTCGTTCAGATTCAAAACATTTAAAGTAAATTAAAGACCTATCTTTTTAATTTGGCTTATCATTTGGGGCAACTGTAATTTTTTAGTAGAAACACTGTTCATGTTTTAAGATATAACTCTTTCTGTTTGTTTGCACCTTGTTTTTAATTATGTTCCTCATTTGTTATTGTCATTTTCTGTAAAGCGATTCAAGCATGAAAGGTGCTCTATAAATAAAGTGTATTATTATTAATGTCGTCTGGTTTTTTGAGTGTTTTTTCTCTTCTTTGTGAAACGCCGCTGTGTCAAATGTCCTTCTTGGGTTGCCGTACATTGCTCTCAAATGTGACAATAAAATAAAAAACTGCTAAATATTCTCGTATCTTCCTACAGCAGCGTATTACTGAAACACCTAGGATTGTGTACATTAAAAAATAATAATGTAAAACCTTTAAAATAATAACTTACAGAGCACAGATTAAAATCAGTTAATAATTATCTGAATATTTCTAAATTAAGAGTGACTTTTTTTAGCCAACATCACCTCCTCAGTTCCCCCTCTATACATTAAAATGAATACAAATTAAGGTTTATATCTTCTCTCTTAGCCGTAGTGCTAATTATCGGACGTTTCTACAACCAATATATTAAAAATGTGACTTTAAAATGTATGACTGGCACTACAGGTAAGAGAAAAAAGGTGTATTTTGATTATGATTATGATTTTAAAGGGTTTAATTATAATCTTTATCCAATATTTAATACTTCTGGATGAATCCAAACTACTTTTGAAATGTGAACAGTGCAACAACGATGTAGAAAAACTGGTATCATCGTTCTTTAAAATGTATTTTCTCCACTATCAATGCTATGCTAACACGCAGTCTGCAGCGCTGGAAGTAATAAAAGTTGTATTTCTGCAAAAACTAAACTGAAATATAAATGTTCCCACAGACTTTGAAACCTAATGTTTATCTTTGGTTGAAGCTTCTCCTTTTTCAAACCTTTCCTCCTAAATGTGAGTTCAAAGCTCTGATTATCTCCTGAACAAAGACTATGAACATATTCACCGTCATCTGTTTATAAGTGACTGTTATTTTTGTATATATTGACTCTTGTGCCGTTATATTTTCATGTTGTATTGATGCCTCTTAATGTGGGACTTTGTATACATGTGTAAATGTTTGATTATGTAGATATCTTTAAATATTTTAACTTTTATTCAACGGGATTGTGAGAAACAGCATTTCTTAGATGTGGAAAATACAGCTAAATATTTACTTTTAATAAAGGTGTATCCTGTGTATGCTGTGGTATCATCGAAATTAGTTGTTTATATTCCCAGGAATGGCTTTGAGGATACAAATAAGTCAAAAAAGGACATTTAATCGCTGATTTTGCTGCAAAATGACAATAAAATCAACGTGTTTTATAACTTTGCAGCTCCCTTTTTCCTCTCATTACAGCAGCAGTCGAGTGCGTTCACCTTTCCAATCTAATTAAATATTCATAATATTCCAGCTTTTCTTTCAGCCTCACCAAAGCAGCTGTGAGAGCATTAAAACATACATTTACATGTGTTAAAACATGTAATCTAAACACATCCGACAACATACCTCACTTTCTGTTTCCTCCCATTCCTCATTACCTCAAACATTAAATCAAAATCAAAGCACTTTCTGTTTAACCAATTTAAATCTGAGTTTCCATAGAAAACCTCTCCTCTGGGATTAAGCCACTTGTTGAAGGACTTCTCAACATGTAGAGAAAGTCTCATTTTAAAAGGAGTGAAGTGACCCTGAGTCACAGTGTCAGAGGTCAGAGGTCAGAGGAAATGTAACAACATGAACAGGCAATCATTCTGCCTAAAGGGAATCACAGTGAGGTTAAACATCCTGCTGTGTTTCTCTGGATCTGGATCTGGATCGTACCACACTGACGATCACTGATAGAAATCTTCGCCCGCTCCGATTTGATCCAGATCGTTGATCCTCTCCGGAGAAAAGCCTTCCTCGATGGCTACCTTTGAAGCAAGGACCTAAAAGATAAGAGAGAGAAAGGAAGTCAGACTCTCCTCGGACTGGAAGAGCTGGAACCAGTTTGATGTTATGCAAACCAGCAGATCTGACATGTGGCATTCTGACATGTCGTGGTGAAGTGAAGAGAAGCAACTCTTCGTGTGTGTGTGTGTGTGTGTGTGTGTGTGTGTGTGTGTGTGTGTGTGTGTGTGTGTGTGTGTGTGTGTGTGTGTGTGTGTGTGTGTGTGTGTGTGTGTGTGTGTGGTTTCATATAGGAAGTGAAAGAGCAAGCGTGTTCTGCAGTTATGATGCAACAACGACAAAAAGTGTGAAAAAGGGGAATTGAGTAGCAGTTTGTCTCGTACCCTGATAATAAACCTGTGACTCCTAAAAAGCAGCTTCAATACTACATGTTATTTCTTCTGTGTATAAGTAAGTGTGTGTGTGTGTGTGTGTGTGTGTGTGTGTGTGTGTGTGTGTGTGTGTGTGTGTGTGTGTGTGTGTGTGTGTGTGTGTGTGTGTGTGTGTGTGTGTGTGTGTGTGTGTGTATGTGTACCTTTTAGCATTCATCTTGATTACAGTGAACCACCTTACCCCTAGATTCCACCGGGTCCGTCTGCGGCGCGTTACGGGCGCGTTACGGCTGTGCCGCGGTGCTCACGGCGATCGCGGCCACTCTAGTCAATGGGTGTTATTCCACCACACGCGGCGCGTTACGGCTCAGAAGCGTCCCAGAAGCGGCTCGGCGCAGGGCTCCTCTAAAATTAGGATCGAATCCTATTTTTGACGCGGCGCAGCCGTAACGTAAGGTCGGGCAGGCAGGAAGTGGAACGTTCAGAGCATATATAGCATATATATATATATAGATATATACACACACACAAACTAATTTTGCAGACCCTATCCCTCCGTAGTCTTTCAAGTAGGAGGAGAAATGCCAGCGTTCTCCTCCGGTTTACAGGCACTGTGTAAATTATATATATAGAATAATTATGATGATGAATGCATTTTTTTACCACTAAAATACAGCAACACATCTTTGATTCATGTCGTTTATAACTGGAATATTACAGTTATTATTAACTTTGTCTGTACAAAGTAGCCTGTCCAGGAAATATGCCCAAATCAACAAAAACTGCGAGCCGGCAGGCAAGACGCTCCGCTTCTGAAATGCTTCTGAAACGCGCCTGGTAGGGTATGACGCCGGAGGAGGCCGGACCAAAACCGCAACGCGGCGCAGACAGACCCGGTAGAATCTAGGGGTAAGCCAGTACGATCTGCAGCTTCTAACAAGCAGCTCTGTCTCTATACACATCTATGGATTCTTCTTGCAAGACTCGCACACAAACAAGCATTAAATTATCTTAACAGTGGTGGGAAAATAACCAAGTACATTTACTCATTGCTGTCCTTACTGAATGTAAACATTTGAGGTACTTGTAATGTGCTTTCTGTGCCACTTTTTTCTACAATTTGAAGATAGAAATTGTTCTTTTTACAGTGTAGTATTATTAGTACTTTGACTGAATTAAACAAACGAGTGTGTGTGTGTCTCACCTTGAATGGTTCACTGACTCCGATGACACACTGCAGAGCACCGCTGTAGTAACACAACACACACTCGCCCCCCGCACAGGGATCTCCTCTTTACTCACATACACCTGCACACACACACACACACACACACACACACACACACACACACACACACACACACACACACACACACACATACACACACACACACACACACACACACACACACACACACACACACTTTCATTGATGTGCTTTTCTTAGCGTTATCAACGGTAGGTTTTTTTCAAAGTGAAACTGAACAATAGAATAGTAGGTGCTTAGAGCTCACGATTAATGTCCTAAATGAGAATATAGATAATTGTTGAGTACGTTTACACAGAGAAAGAATTCACTTATAAAAGCGTTTGATACCGTCGATCATCGCATCTTAAAGCAGAGGCTACTCAGTATTGGCATATCCAGCCATGCAGTGGGGTGGTTTGTGAACTACCTCTCTGAAAGGTCCCAATGTGTTCATTTTGATGGGCTGTCTTCTGAGTGGTTAAACATTACTAATGGTGTTCCTCAAGGTTCTGTTTTAGGTCCACTTTTATTCTCCATCTACATCAATAGTTTAGGTGAAAATGTCGATGGAGCAACCTTACATTTTTATGCGGACGATACCGTTATGTACTGTGCAGGTCCCTCCATTAAGGAGGCTGTTGTTGAATTGCAAGCTGCTTTTAACATTATTCAGACTCAGCTCTCAGCGCTTAAGCTTCTTTTAAATGTTGATAAAACCAAGGTAATGCTCTTTTCAAAAGCTAAAAAGACACCAGAGCCTGTTTTAGATATTTTAACTACGCAAGGAATAAAACTTGAAGTGGTTGCCTGTTACAAATACCTTGGTATCTGGCTTGATGATTGTCTCACTTTTAAATGTCATGTCAATAACCTGCTTAAAAAACTGAGGGTTAGGCTAGGTTTCTTCTACAGGAACAAGTCCTGTTTCTCGCTCGAGGCCAGAAAAAGGCTAGTCACTGTGACCTTTTTACCTGTGCTGGACTATGGGGATTTGATTTATATGAATGCACCTGCCAATTGCCTGGTCAAGTTAGATGCTGCGTATCACAGTGCACTGAGATTTGTGACAAACTGTAAAGCATTAACCCATCACTGTACCCTGTATGCAAGGGCTGGTCTGCCTTCACTAACTGCACGGAGGCTCAGTCACTGGTACATTTTTATATATAAAGCCATGTTAGGGAAACTTCCATCCTACATCTGCTCCCTGATCTCACGGCGAATTGTAAGTGGCTACTGCCTGAGATCGCATGCTGTGGTTTTATTAAATGTGCCAACTGCTAGGACTGTCTTAGGGAAAATAGCATTTAGATGCGCAGCTCCACTGTCCTGGAACAGTCTGCAATTAAAATGGAAACTGAGCAATCTGGTGCCACTCAATGTTTTTAAAGCTCGGTTGGATGCTACTCAATCGGAAGCTGTTGGTACCTGTTCATGTGGATAGTATGTAATTTGTAATCCCTGTAATGCTAATGTATGATGTCCTTTTGTTGTTCTGTTTATGTTTTTAAATGTTTCATGTGGAACCTACTTGAGCAGGTCTCCCTTGAAAAAGAGGTCAATGATCTCAATGGGATACAACCTGGATAAATAAAGGTTTGAAATTAAATGAAACTTACAAAAAACACAGTAAGAGGAAATAATTTTGAAAACAAATATAGAACTTTTTCTAGAATAATTAAAGAAACTATTATAAAATAACTTAAAAAAATAATGTTTACAAGATCAAATGAAAACACAAATAAAATGCAATGAAGTAACTTCAACTAAAAGTTAAAACTTCCACCTTGTTTAGTGAAATAAAGACTTATCATATAAATAACTCCATATTTAAGGTGTTTTGAGTCCTTAGAAAAGCACTATAAACATTAAATGAATATAAATTATGATTATTATTATTTCTATATAAATAAACATTGATTGATTGATTGATTGATTTCAAATTCACCAATTAGCCGTTCCTTGTCCATCCTCGTGCATCTAGTTTCTCTAACGACTGTATATATTTGAATACACATGTTTCTGTTATACATGGTATATGTACATGTCAGTACAATGTGCCCATTTTTTTAAACTTTTTTTGTTTGCATATCTTTTTTATTCTAATTTTCTCTTAATTTTTTTACAAAAATATTTTTGAAAGTTTTATTTAATATTTTCCTTTTAGTTTTTTATGTTTATAAAAATATTTTTTGTATTTTATTTAAAAAATATATAATTTTTTTTTTTTTTTTACTAAAATATGGACATTTATATTTCATTTCACTTTTAATTTACATTTTAATTGAACTTTTTTATGTTTCTATACATATTATTTTTGATATTTTATCTAATATTTACTTTACTCAAATTTTTCTTATGTATACATACGTATTTTTTATATTTTATTGAACATTTTACTTATTTTCTTTTTTTATATATAAATATCTTTTGTATTTTATTAAAAAAAAAATATTGAATGTTTTACCTAATTATTTTCTTTTAGTTAAAATATGTACATTTATATTCAATTTAATTAAAATGTTGCTAAAAGTGGCAGATTTTCTCCAGTTGTGTATTTTCAAATTCTAGCGATCTCGAGCTGGTTTCTCAAACTTACCTACCCTACCTTTAACTTCAACTTTTATATATTTATTTACATATATAATTTTTTTAATATAAATGTCTTTTCATTAAAAATATATTGAACGTTTTACCTAATTATTTTCTTTTAGAAAACATATGTACATTTATATTCAATTTCATTTAAATTGTACTTGAACTTCTTAAGTCGAAAAATATATGTTTGTTATATTTGAAGAGAAACGGGGCCAGCACCGTCCCCTGGGGGGCCCCAGTACTGCTGATGATGGTGTCTGATTGACACTCCCTGGTCCTCACGTACTGTGGACGGTTGTTGAGGTAGTCCAGGATCCAGGAGGTGAGGTGGTGATCCACCCCAGAGAGCTGCAGCTTGTCCCCCAGGAGCGGGGGCTGGATGGTGTTGAAGGCACTGGAGAAATCAAAGTACATGATCCTCACAGAGCCCCCAGCCTTCTCCAGGTGGGAGAGGGACCTCTGCAGCAGGTAGATGACGGCGTCATCCACCCCGATGGCAGGCTGGTAGGCGAACTGCAGCGGGTCCATTGATGGTCTCACAAGGGGCCGGAGGTCTCCAAGGACATAACGTTTACTGGTTTCCCACTCTGAAATAGGAGAAATAAATCCACAAAGATAGATTTGTTTTCCACTCAGTGGGAACATGAGGGAACCCTCGATAGAGCCATTGGTAATAATATTTCATTCACATACTGTACGCTAATATCAGATTAGTGCAATTATTGTATGTATTGCAATTAATACTAGTTAAATATTACATTGTATTATTGGCATGATTTTGACTATGTTTAGAGTCAGTATGTTAGCACAGTTGCAGATTGAAAACCCACCTGCTACGACTTCACATTGGCAAATTAAAAAAGGAAATAAAAACCTTCTCATTTAGTTTACGTTACATTTTCCAAATGTACTGATACTTGTACTTTACTATTTCCATTTTACGCTACTTTAAACTTCTACTCTAGTAACTAGTAGGCATTAGTACAAAATAAAATATAGAAATAAATCCTAACATTTACAATAACTCCAGAGCGTTGTAAAGTCTAAAAATGTAACATCAACTCATATAGCTGTAATCATTTCCAAACTTCAGATGTTTTCCTCCATATTCAATATTTTAAAGCAGTTTCCCTAAAGACAGGCGATACAGAACCACACGCTGCTTTCATGTGACCACAACAAGAAGCATAGCATGATAACATCATCAAATCATCAAGAGACGTTCAAAAGCAGTGAAAGAAGCTTCATATTTTAAATAAAGGACACTCAGTGCAGCCCTAGTTTGTATACATTGTAAAACAAAATGTTAAAATGATTCTTCTTCCTCTGTTTTTAGGCGAAGTGCCAAATCCACGTCGGCTTGAAGTGAAGAGAAAGATCCTGAGAACAAACTGTTTCAATAAGGAGAAATATTGAACCTGTTCAGATGTGTTTCATTACTTTCTGTTTAAATGTTAGTTAACATTCAGTTTCTGGATTTAAAGGCCCTTTAATTTGACTGCCTGACTTTGTGGTTAATACTGTTTCATATACATTATTACATCTGTAATACTACTCATACAGTAAAGTTCCTTTTGTTAAATACTCATTCAGATACTACAGTAATGCTTAATACTTCTGTATGAATCATTTCACTTTCATTCAGCAACGTCTTGAGAAATGTCCACTGTTTGTGCGACATTAACTCAGCTGCTGCTAAAGTTATCTCTTCTTCTTCGTCTTCCTGGTTTGTTTCTAGTTGTTGTTCATCTCTGCTTTTCTTTTTGTTTAACCTAACAACAACAACCTGCTCCTACAGTTTCTTTTATTCAAAATAAAGCTTTCCTTCTGCGGGAAATCCCTACTTTCTGTTCAAATGTAGTTTACATTCAGTTTCTGGATTGAATGGCTTTTTCATTTGACTGCATGACTTTTGTGCTTGCCTTCATAAAGATGGTTAAAACTGTAAAACTGGTGTATTTAATGTGAGCTGGAGATGAAGAAGATGCACGTGATGAAGACCTGGATTTGTCTTTTGACGGTTTTATAAAACCGTCAAAAGCAGAATCAAACAGCAGAGGCAGGTATAAGAGTGTAACAAAAAGAGAGCTTTAATTAAAGCTGTTACTAAATAAACACAAAAACTGCAGGAGCAGGCGAGGTTAGACAAGAAGGAACGAAGCAAACAGAAAACTATAAACAAACCAGGAAGACGTCGAAGAAACAAGACGTTGCTTTTTTATTTGGGGTAAAACCATATTTGCAGCTGACTAGAGGATTCTTAGTGAGACTTTGACTGCATACTGAGAACCAATCACTGATCAGAACCTGCTGATCGAGTCTTAAGCACACACACCCTTTCCAATCCACACACACACACACACACACACACACACACACACACACACACACACACACACACACACACACACACACACACACACACACACACACACACACACACACACACACACACACACACACACACACACACAACACAACCACACACACACACACACACACACACACACACACACACAACACACACACACACACACACACAGCTTTAGTTACTTTAAGATTACAGATGTTCTTCCCCCTCCTGTCCAGTTATAACCACGTATCTCCAGATGATTTTAAATGTTTACGATGAACTAGGATCCAGTATTTATTTATGTGTTGAGGCAGTTCTCCTCCTTAAGCTATATGCCTTTAAAAAGCCTCTTGGATCATGTTGAAAATGCACCGTCACAAAGCTGAAAACAGGCTGTTTTTCTGAAAAACTCATGAAAAGTAGACTTTTTAAAGATACGTGGTTATCACAGGACAAAGCTACACACATATATTGATCTCATAGAATCTGCAGCAATGCATTTAACAAACCAAGAGAATATAAAGGAGTTCAAATAATCTACACTATGCAATTTGTGCATTCATGCAGCAGTAATATTATTCCTCAAACAAGTATATATAATATGGATCAATATATTGCACAGTTAACACTAGAGTACCCAAAACAACCTCACAAGTAAGGTTTTGAATGCAGGGTGTTTATTGATTTGTGTTCACTTTGTGGTATTATAATTTGTACTTGCTTGTTTTTAGCTGCTTGTCTATTTTCTAACTTTCTTATACATATTTTTGGAGCTGTTTTACTGTGAGAGTAATTGAAAATAATCCCTGTTTGTACCTGTCCAGGTGATGAGGCTGGTTATGAAACAGAGGGAGGAGCTGCAGACAGGAAGTATGAAGTCAGACTGCCAGACTCCATTTTACACTTCGACAGAGCAGGAGGAGAACAACAGGGTGAGTGTTAACACCAGGATCTGCTTTTTAACACATTAATCATTTACTCTGTTATACTGTATGTCA